CCCTTGGGGATTCAAATAGGGCCTAAGCAGATAGTGACACCACCACAGTTCGTCACGGTTACAACACAGAGTATTATGGGCAAAAGTAGCTTATGTAGTCCGCCTCATATATCCCTAGTCCCAGCATTTTATTCTACGAAAACGGTGGTTATATGGTTTTTTTTGGGGGGGTGGGGAAATAGGATAAGTAGAGAAGGAAGTTTTTAGAAGTGTAAAGTGCAAAAAATGTAGTCGAAATTGTTTCCCGCAGCCGCTGGGAGTAAGTTGTTCCGCATGTAAATCGAAGGTGTGCACGGCGCTCAGCGCCGCGGACTATACGAATCTAACACCAGAACCGTAACTTGGAACTCAGGCAAGTTGAAGTAGATGACCTCCTAACCACCATTTCTATTTTTTCAGGAATTTCGAGAAACCTGCAATTTGATAATCGGCTTGTTCCGCAACATTTTACACGATAATACAGATTATGAATATACACAGATATAAATCAACAACACAACAAATCAACAACACAATAAAAATGCGTATAGCAGTTATTAAAGTATACTCAACTGCCTATCCCAATTCCCCACCCATAAAACCCTATAACCACCGTTCTCGTAGGACAACATGCTGGGAGTGGGGATTAATAAGGGGGACTACATAAGCTTCTGTTGCCGTATTATGAATATATGGGCATCGCCGATCTGGTAGAGGAACAATTAAGTTCCGCTTCGCCCTGGAGTTCACAATTAGAGCCCGCGCAGGCAGTCACATGGCGTCTGTGAGGAGGCCATTCCAGACTCTCTCTGCTTTGTCGGATCCCTTCCATCCTCTCCTCATAGTCGCTATGTGACTGCCTGTGCGGGCTCTCACTGTGAGCTCCAGGGCGAAGGGGAACTTAATTGTTCCTCTACCAGATCGGCGATGCCCATATATTCATCATATTCCCGATCACAACCGACAAAGCAACGAGCCCATGATGCAATGGTAGAATGTAAAAACCCAATGACCAAAGGTCCCAGGTTCGAATCTCGGGGGTTCCAACCCTTGAGCTTGGGTATGACTGGCTGATGACGGCTAACAGGCCAGAAATTACCATTCCGGTCTCGCTTTCCTTTGTCAGATCCATTCCACAGAGTATTATGCATATAACGTGAATCGGCGGAGAGAAATGCTCGTACGCCTCCTCCTCTGCATGCCCTTCAACAACAACAACAACGCAGTCAA